GGACTGAGGGTGTATAAGAGTGCAGAGGATTTCAGACTGCATGCTTTGTGTGTTATTGTGGATATAGTTGTGTTTGTGTGGAGGGTGGATTTTTTTTTTTTTTAAAGTTATTGGTAGTGAAGATCTACAGGGACCTCCTCTGCTTCCTATCTTGATTTGAGGACATTGCTTGAAATATGTTGACAATGAATGCATGAGAAACAGGAAATATCACTGTGTATTTGAGTATGCATCCCGTTGGGGTTGAAGGTATTTCCTGGTCTTGGTTACTTTTGCATATTTCTCTCTCTTAACTCTTGTTAATAAGGGTTGAGATAGAGAACTTTGACTATGAATAACATCCCTACTAATACAAGTGCTAGTCATTAAATGTTACATATTCCTTCTAGATCAACTTTGTAACAAAAGTACTGAGTCTTTTAAAATCAGAAATGTTTTGAAATCACTGAATAATTATTTTTTCTTTTTAGATATGAGGTACCATGAATAATTTGTTTAAGACTAGGCAAGAATTTTTTTCTTATATCAGTTATGACTGACTACAGTGATAGTGAACATTCCTTTAGTGTACACATTGTGAATTTTTCACTTTCTGCATAACACCAAGTAGAGATCTGCTTGCACATATATTTATTACTTTTTATAGCTAAAGAGTCACCTTTCACATTCTAGGCACAAATTACATGTTCAGACTTGAACGGGTATTCTTACTTGCTGTCTTTTTTATTCCCTCTGTATCTAGCACTATTGCAGGTAAAGTCCTTGTCTGCAATATATGTCTGGGTTTCCCCTTTTCAAGATAACGTATAATAAAATACCAAAAGACATTTAGTCATAATTTGTCTTCTGTATAATTGTCTTTCCTAATACTGTAAAATTCACAGGACCATGTGCACAAGATACACTGTATTATTCCCATTTTACTGTTGGAATTATTACAGCATAGAAATGCTGAAGAATCTTGTGTTTGACAAAGATCAAGTTATCAGTAGAAACAGTAGAGGAACCTATAATTTCTACACCCAAGTTCTTTAAGTGCCTTGACTACTCAACATTCCCTTATTAATATCCCTGTCAGACTATTTATAGGAAATGTATCTACAGGATAGATGTAAAATGTTTCCAAATATATCCAGCTAAATCAAATGACAATTATGATGTTAGTTAAGTTGGCCTGGCAATGTTTTGCCAGAGATGGTTTGCCAAAGATGGTTTGCCAAAATATATTTTGACTGAAGGAAAAGGAAACATCCAGAGCATCTGCATGCCAGAGTCTATAAAAGTCTCTTTGGAGTGCTGTGCCCAGTCTTGACAGAAAATTTCAAGGTAAGTGTATGGCTTCTGGGAACTTCTGGGCAAAGCATACACCTTTTTATTCCCCTTAGCCTCCTATAAGCCTTGGATATCCCTTTCTATCAGGGATTATCTCTATCACCATTGATTTTATTCTAGGTTTGAAGGCAGCATTTTTTTCCTTGAGATGGGCACTGGTTTTCTGTGCAACATAAAATGAGTTGCTATGTTTTGAGGAAGCAGTGGCTGACTGTCAGCCTCTGCTACTAGAATGAATACCAACATTTGCCAACTTTAAAGGAACAGGAAGAAATCCAATGGTTTTAGATTTCTAGAAAGCAGATCAGGCAAGAGTGATATTTATCTTTGTCATAATGTAAGATGGATTGTCCATACCAAGTAAACTTTCCAGAGAAAAAACACTATTTGTTATCAGAAAAGGAAGTCTTTTGGAGAGTCTTGAGTAGCATTTGAAAAAAAAACAAATCAGAGAATTATTTAATGTTAAGTCTCCATTATTGCAATGTCCAAATTCAATGGAGCCCACAATACTGCTAAACTGTAATAAATACTGCAACACTAAAGAAATGTTCTATACTTTCTTACATAGATGGATGTATAAGGATTAATTTCAGAAGAGTATACAAGTATTCTCAGCCAAGACTGGGAAGTTTAAATCCAACTTTTGACTTTCTATACCTGCTTATATATTTGAAGATATCAAAATGCAAAAATTTCCTATCTTCCACATAAAGCTGTTCACTCACAGATTCAAGTTATCTTCTTTACCACAGGGTTCTCTGCTGACTCTGCCTCCTGTCCAAGAACAACCATGAGTTCTCCAGATGCTGAGATGGCTGCCTTTGGGGAGGCGGCTCCTTACCTCCGAAAGTCAGAGAAGGAGAGAATCGAGGCCCAGAACAAGCCTTTTGATGCCAAGTCATCTGTCTTTGTCGTGCATCCTAAGGAATCCTTTGTGAAAGGGACAATCCAGAGCAAAGAATCAGGGAAGGTCACCGTCAAGACTGAAGGGGGAGAAGTGAGTAGAAACCAAGGCTTAAAAATGTTTTGTAATTCCCAGTCTCAGCTCTTAACTCACATACACAAATCTTTTTCTTTATCTGACAGACCCTGACCGTGAAGGAAGATCAAATCTTCTCCATGAACCCTCCCAAGTATGACAAAATCGAGGACATGGCCATGATGACCCACCTCCATGAACCCGCTGTGCTGTACAACCTCAAAGAGCGTTATGCAGCCTGGATGATCTACGTAAGTACAAGCAGCAGCCTGCCTGCCTTTGGCTGGCTGGGGGAACTGCTCTGCCTGGCTAAGTGGAAGCCAACGTGCTGTCTCCCTTCCTCGCAGACCTACTCGGGTCTCTTCTGTGTCACCGTCAACCCCTACAAGTGGCTGCCCGGGTACAACCCGGAGGTGGTGTTGGCCTACCGAGGCAAGAAGCGCCAGGAGGCCCCTCCACACATCTTCTCCATCTCTGACAACGCCTATCAGTTCATGCTGACTGGTGAGACAATGGCAGCATCTTGATAGCAATATAACATTTGGTTTTGGTTCTTTTTTTTTTTTTTTTACGTATTTGTGTGTGTAAATCTCAGCATGAGCCTTTAGTTAACTTACTTTAACAGATGCTGATATTATGCATGGGAGAGTTCTGTTCTAGTGATTTTTAATGTTCTCATTGATAGCATGTGACAAATAACACTGAAGAAGTTACAGTGAAAAATAATTAATAGGATAAATTTAGTCAAGTGAGAGAAAAATTCTTGCCTATTATTAATGAGATCAGATTTGCTCAAAATGTGACAGAAAATACTAACAGAGCTCTGAACAGTTTAATTAGTCTCTTCCAAAACTGTATTCTAGGTTAATTTCTAGCTGTTTTGGTCTCATGAGGACATTGTTTGAAAATGGAAATTATCTGATTTCAAGTGTTATTCTGATATTTACAAATTCTTGTGAACGTTCAAAGTTCACAATCTGAGTGAAGTTGCACCCTCTGAAAACAGTGATAAATGCCTTCATTATGAATTAGCTCTTAGTTGTACTGTTTTATGGATTTGCTTGTTAAACATGAAAGTTACTTGACCTTAAAGGACTAGTGCACCAAATCTGTAATATTCAGAAGGGATTCAATGGATTGGTGGTTATGCATCCACAGTAGTTTCGTGATTCCACAAGGACAACACTGAACATAAGCGAATAATAATGTTAACTGTTAAAAAAAAAAAAAAGTCCCTAAATATTGAATCAAAACAGAATGGTAATTTGAACGGTTCTTTTTTCTCCCTTTCCACTTCCATTTTTAACACTGGAGCAGGTTCATGAATAATGAGTAGCCTAGCCTATTTTTTCACATTTACTATCTTATAACTGCCTTCTCTTAGTGACATTAAAACCAGACTTGTGAAGACAGAAATAAACAAAAAATGAGCAGAAATAACGTGAAAAACAATCAGAACAAAAACAAAAAAACCCAACCCCACATTCTTTCCTACATCAGAAAGAATTCATTCCTTTGAATTTACTGGTGAAAAGAAAAAGAAAAAAACTTCAATAGCCTAGTGTATGGGAGAGTATTCTAGTGAAAGGTTAATAGATGCTTATGATGTATTTGTGGTTTTATTCAGGCAAAAATCTCTTGGCCATTGAGAGAAAACCCATTTAGGAGGACTGATCAGGAGTGGCTATTCTCATATTATAAAGTTTAGGAGAAGAACCTGCTCCAATTCTCTTTTCCTTACAAATAGTTCAATTAATCAAGAACTCTACAAAAATACTCCTCTGCTGGAATCCTCTTCATAAAGATAATGAGCAGCTTGACATGAAGAAAATATCCAACAAACAAAGCCACTATACTACACCTGACATATCCATCAGTGTTGATAAGTCAGGTTCCCAGCTACAGCTGGGAATGCTAACACGTTCAAAGGGCATTAGGGGTGAAGGCACAAAGGTTTATGAAAGGAGTTAGCTGCATACCGCTGGTGCATCTTCCAAAAGTCCCAGGTATATTTTTATCCAGGACATCCATGGTACATATTCATAACCTCTTTGTTTCTGCCTCTTCCACAGATCGCGAGAACCAGTCTATCCTGATCACGTATGTACACTCCCTACTCGTGTCCCTGCGGGGCTGCCCGGTGCCAGGGGACCTTCTGCCTGACCACCACTCTCTGCTTCTCTCTTTGCTTTGGCAGCGGAGAATCCGGCGCAGGGAAGACTGTGAACACAAAGCGTGTCATCCAGTACTTTGCAACAATTGCAGCCAGCGGAGACAAGAAGAAGGAAGAGCAGCCAACAGGCAAAATGCAGGTGAGTCAGGAAGTACAGACTGAAGAGGTGACATGTAATTGCCATGGCTGCTAAACACATTAGGTGAATAATTATTGTGCTCTAGGGAATGCCTGAGGCTCAGATCATTAATTAACAGATGCTGGCTTGAATGAATGCTTTCCCGTCTCCCCGACATGATTTTTGGAAAGGATAACCAGCAGTAGTTATTGTCCTGCAGGGAACGCTTGAGGATCAAATCATCAGTGCCAACCCACTGCTGGAGGCCTTTGGAAATGCCAAGACCGTGAGGAATGACAACTCCTCACGCTTTGTAAGTTGTTGCTTAGACAAAAATCCTTCCTCATTAGAACAGTAGTGATAGGCTTGTGGTTTTCTCATGTCAGGAGATGGCAAGCTTGGTTAAGCTGGGATAGGGCTGGTTTTCCCCTGC